GCCCGCCCTCAGCCCGCTCGATGGCTTGCCCCTGCTCGACGGCTTGCCCCTGCTCGACGGTTTGCCACTTGACGGCGGCCTGCCCGCGCTGCCCGATGCGCTGGGCGGCGACGCGGTGCGCGACTTGGACCCCCTCGTCTTGGGCCTCGAGTCGCCGGAGCACTTGTCGATGGCGTCGTTTGGGTCGGCGGTCTCGTTCGGGGGCGATTTGGCCGCCTACTTAGGCCCACTCGCGCAGCCCTTTGGGGCGGCGACGGAGCCGCTGCATGCGTTTGGACAGGGCGGCGCGCCCCGCCTGCCAGAGCTCGCGGACCTCGGGCCGACACACGGGCTACAGCTCCCAGGGCTGCTGGAGGTGGCCTCCACGGCGAGCTTTGGCTCGACGCTCTCGTGGGGCAGGGCGCATTTCGCCGACGGCACCGACGGTTTTCCAGCACTCGAGGCCGCCTTCGGTGTCGGCAGAGCCGGCGGGCAGTGGGCGCCCCACCCCGGCCTCGACGTGCCGATCGACGAGCTCACGCTCTTGGACGAACTCGGCGTCGCCGGCTTGGGCATATCGGCGGCGAGCTTTGCTTCGGCTGTCTCGCTTGGCGCCCAAGCCTTCGCCCTCGGGCAGGGCCCCGCGGCCGCCGCTTTTGGCGCGGCGGGGACGGATGATGCCGGAGCGCAGTGGGCGCCCCATCCTCCGCATATGCCCGGCCTCGACGTGCCGATCGACGAGCTCACGCTCTTGGGCGAGTTGGGCGTCGCCGGCTTGGGCTTATCTGCGGCGAGCTTCGCTTCGGCTGTCTCGCTCGGAGCCCAAGCCTTCGCTTTCGGGCAGGGCGGTTTTGCGCCAGTGGCGGCGGCGGCCCCAGTGGATGAGATCACTCTCTTGCGGCAGCACGCAGCCTTGCTCGGACAGCCCGGGACCCCGGCGCTGGGGCGTCTCGGCGGTGGTTTCATCGACATCGAGTTGATACCGCAATCCTTCACGGGGCACAGCTTCGCGTCCGGGATGTCCTTCGGCGGTGGTGCCGAGCTGGCAGCTGCCCGCGACCTCATTGAGGGCACCGGCTTTACCGCTGTCGATCGCGCCTTTGCCGGCGGGCTCGCGGACGGCTCGCTCAGGCCGGCTCCGGCCTTGGGCGCCGTCCAGCTCCCCACCCCTGTTGGCGGCAAGGACGGGCTTGGCGCGGGCGGCGCT